GACCAAAGTTGCGAGGAAGATAGGCGCCTTGTGGCAAGCCCGTCGATGCCTCTCCCGCAGCTCGCGCAAGGTATATGTAAAGGCTATTGTCATGCCGGATATGATATTATGGTGCCTGCAGCTTCTCTGCAGCCCTCCGCGTGACCCAACTTCAGCGTCTGCAAGCCATGCAAAACCGGGCGATCCGATGCATTGATGGCAGCCCGCCATGTTCCGCGATGCAGCCCCTCCTGGCTGCCAACTCGATTTACCGCGTCACTGAACTTTTCAAACAAAAGCTCCTGATCTTCATCTGGCGTTGTCTAAATGACTCCACTAGCCTTGCTCTAGCCCAGCTTCTCAAAACAGCAGCATGCAGCGGCAGAAGTACGCGCCATCAGCATGCCAATGGTCTGCTCAGCCAGCCAGCTCGCAGTCGGTGTGGCCAAACGAGATTCGCCACCGCAGGAGCATTGCTGTGGAACAGTTTGCCTAGAGAGGTGCGCACCGTATCCAGATTGCAAGATTTTAAGCTAGCCTGCCTTCCTTATGTATGCCTGAAATAGGTTGTGTTTCGTCAGGTTTTGACATGTTCCTTTCTTCTCAGTATTCTCGCTCGCATAGTACTCCACTTCTATGATAATATTGCCTATGCTGTTGCTCATTAGGATTTTGGCAAATTCTATCCTTTGCTTTCATATAACTGGGCCAGGAACCCGTTTGAACTTGCGAAGTAAAATAAAATCAATCAATCAATCCTTATGTGTAATAAATGTAGAGGCGACGGATTTATTGCAATTACATACCAGTATAAAAACCGAGGTCCCCCGACATTTTTATAACTGATATGTAATTGCAATAAATCCTGAGGCTACTACATTTATTATACATGTACATAGTTGACCTTCGCTTTCACTAAAAAGGAGTATTATTTTTATAAACAGTATTTATTGGCCGTAGTGGTATTTTATACATACATACATACATAGTTGACCTTCACTTTCACTAAAAAGGAGTATTTTATAAACAGTATTTATTGGCGGTAGTGGTATTTTATAAACAGTATTTATTGGCTCGAAAGCCAATAAATACTGTTTATAAAATACCACAACGGCCAAAAAATAATGTTTATGAAATACTCCTTTTTAGGGAAAAGTGCAGTGCTACATGGAAAAGTGCAGTGGTATTTATTGAGTCAAAGCAAATTTTATTTGAATTTGATACTGTTGATGATGTGGTCACTAATATAATGAGTGTGGGAATTTATCAAAGGTCAATATATTTATGTAATAGTGCAATGAAGACCTGGAGTCTGTGGGGGTTGGTCCTAGGAAAAACCTAAAATGTATATGATAATAATAACGCGACGTTCCCGGCACTTCTCTATTTACATGTAATGCAAAGTCGAAAATAACAGAGAACTTTAATCGAGAAATTATTATTATTATTATTTGTTTTACATCGGAAGCTCAACAGTGCAGCTGCACAAGTATGAAGAGGCCGATGGGACCAAAAGAATAAAATAAAATAAAATAGAAAAAAAAGAACAAACAATGTATATACATGTACATCAGTGTCATCAGTGTAAATGTTCAAATGTTTAGAAAAAAAGGGGGATGAGTGGTGAACATAAATAGAAAAGAAGAAAAACGTATGCTGAATGAACCTGGGCAATATTATACATGTAGCTGGTGAGAGACTAAACGTTGCCAACGTTGTCAAACAAAATTGCACGATATCGTTCAAACCAAACTGGATCATCCAATAAGCGCTTAAAACCACGATCGAACTGAGAGGTAAACAAAGAGGATTTCAAGTCATTAGGTAGAGCATTAAAAAACAGAGCAGCACGAAGCACAAAGGATTTTTGACCGAGTGTTGTTCTGCATTTTAAATACGGGATATCATGTGTGTCGCGATTACGCGTGCTCCAGGTAGATTGCGGGGCTGGGAATAACGATGTAAATACAGGCAAAGGGCGAAGAATATGATTAATGAAAATGAACTTCCCAGTTGACACCAGAAAATAGTAGTCCATAAGACAAAGCCTGAACAAGAAGAAGACAGTGCGGTGTGGCTGTGAATTGTCGCGCTGTGACTTGGTGTGGCTGTGAGTTGTCTTGGCTGTGACTTGTCTCGCTGTGAGTTGACGACACTGTGAGTTGTCTTGGCTGTGAGTTGACGACACTGTGAGCTGTCGGCTGTGAGTTGTCGCGCTGTGAGCTGTCTCGCGGTGACCTGTCGTGTTTCCTACAATGTCATGTATATGTATAGTTTGTACACGTAAGAACGTACATTGATAACTGGTCACGACATGCAGAGCTTCAGTACAAACGAAAATACAGTGGAAGTAAAAAAAAGAAACATTTATTTATCACAACTATCACAAATCATGGAACTTTGATTCTGAAATATAGGCAATCATCTAAATGGCTGCCTCGACTTTCTGCCTCGACTTTCTGCCTCGACTTTCTTGTGTATTAGCGGGAGGTACAATTATGAAAGATTTTATTATGTAGGTCAGCACGTGGACATGTTCGTTGCAAGTACATGGAGTGTTTTCCCCAGTTTCCAGGTATAAACAATATCATGCTATCGCAAACGATAACTCTGCAAATCTTTTAATTAAAACCAATAGCCACTGCCATCATCTAAGTCTCTAATGCAACTCATATTGGGGTGTTGTTGGGACCTCGCCTCCGCTGTTCTCTGCGCCTCAATCGTTCTTGTGTCTTACTTCTTCATTTTTTTAGGGATACTTGTGAAGATCTTTTTTTCTTCGTTTTACTGTCCCTTGTTTTTTTGCAATACCAATTCGGTGGAGAGAATGGAACTCTCCAAAAACAATAAGTAACTCCAAAGCACGAAAAAGGGCCAAAAATTAAACCAAGACCATGTGCGATTTAACATGTTATTTAGAAAGACAGCAGGCAGGCATAGTGGGATGGTCTAAGACCATGATTGAGAAACAGAGGGTACCAGGTTCAAGTCCTGCTTGGAAGCGGAAGGATTTTTTCCAGCCGTGCTGCGACCCACAGTTAATTGGGAACTCGTGGCCTGGCACGAGGGAAACATGGATGCAGTGAATGGGATTTCGGTCTTTGACCACTTTGTGGTGGGTCTGATCTACTCACCTCCCACCGTTTAGGAGCTGCATCTGCGCCTTGATCCAAGAGGGTGGTGGCGTTCCTGCGGATGCGGAAAACTGGGCCTTTGGCCGAGTCTCACGCGAACCGTGAAATTTTTTTTTTTTTTTTTTTTTAGAAAGACAGTGTCTGACTGCTCCTCTTTGGATTCAGCGCTGACATCACGAGGGCATCCTTCTTGTGCCACGCTGCACTTCTTTGGATTCAGCGCAGACTTCACGAGGGCATCCTTCTTAGGGACCATCGCAAAAGTTCGCAGAAGCCCCTGAAACGAAGAGCATACGTTTGGGGGGGGGGGGGGGAGGGAGTCGGTGTCGAAAATCGCAAACCGGGCTTCAAATCAAAAAAGTATTGACGACATGTAGGAGCTGATATAGATTAGCATGCCATCACAGCCGGCGTAGATCGCTTGTCAGGACGCGTATTCCATTCATGCAACTGCGCGTGTCGGGTAGCTGGCTGCCTGTACACTGTGTGTAGTCTAGTACCAAGAGTCCATAAAACGCGTGGTTTACGGACTCTTGCTAGTACTAGTACTAGCAGGGGATCATAGGGTTTATGAACCCCTAGGCCCTGCTAGTACTAGTACCGGTAGTAGTGTAGAGTTACTCGTCCACTGATCCTGCAACAACTCGGGTCGGCCGGAATGTTTGTCCAACTGGAGTGATTTTGTTCAGTCGTTGTAGTCCTTGCTAGAGTAATAATTATTATGTGTGAGCATCCAAATGAAATAATGAAGCCCATATTGTGACTGTCGTTTCGTTTGAGGGGGAAGGGAGGGGGGTCAGGCCCGAAACTAACGGTCTTCGTTTCGGGGGCTTCTGCGAACATTTGCGATGGTCCCTTAAGTCACGCTGCACTTCTTTGGATTCAGCGCAGACTTCACGAGAGCATCCTTCTTATGTCACGCTGCACTTCTTTGGATTCAGCGCTGACTTCACGAGGGCATCCTTCTTATGTCACGCTGCACTTCTTTGGGTTCAGCGCTGACTTGAGGAGGGCATCCTTCTTATGTAACAAGGAGGCACTGCTGATACGAGAACTCGAGAATGAGATAACCCTCATCCATGCCAACTTTCCAAATCCAATTGACATAGTGTCTTCTCACTAACTTCGGCGTTTTGATTGACTGTGCACACTCTTGGGTACACCACATCGAATAATATCTGGAAAAAATCAAGTAAATCCTTAGGAATTCTCTCCCCCCACTGCTCCTACCTCCCACTTTCTTGCAAGCTTCTTTTTTATTTAGCCTACCTTCGCCCAATATTTGATTATGCCGATACGTCTTGGGTTGGATTATCCTCTTCCGCTGCTGCAAAGCTTGAAATACACCACAAGAAAATCCTTAAAATTCTCCTCCGTCAACCCCGCATGCTCTCATCATCCGCCCTTTATAAAATCGCTCACACAACCCTGTTATCACATGGACGCAGTGCACACCTGGCTTTTCTTGTCCATTCTATTAAGCTTGAGTTGTGCCCACCTCATCTCATGTGTTTTAATTGGTTCTCTTTTCTAAGAACTAGAAACTCGCTCTTATTTCCTAAGTGTTACTCATCCACTCTGTTGCGCTCCCCTCACTTTATTGCTTTTTCGGTTTGGCTCACTCTACCCAGAGAAGTTAAGGACCTGACCTCACTCCGCCTGTTTAAGATCCGCGCCGCCCCTTATTTATTACGACATAAATAGCTAATTATCCACATGTCCTTTGCGTCTCTGTGTTTTTCACTGTTTTTATTTGACATTATGTTTCTTTACGGAGTTGTTATTGCTGTTCATTTTGCTACTCTTTCTTTTTCCTTCCCCTTATTTTTATTTATCGCCGTGGTTGGCAATCAACCACTCTCTTAACATTGGCCGGTGTTTCCACCGAGTCTTGAGATGTTGTAATAAATAAAATAAATGATGAGCTAGTAACAAAAGGCATAACGTAGGGCCCTGATCATGATCCTCCAAGCTTTCACGTTGGGCACTGCGTGATATAGCTATATAGAGCGTGACTAAGTAATCCGGGTGTTTGTGAATAATGTTGAAGAGAACAACAACGAAAATGTACAAACGAAAAGAGGAAAGGAATTCAAGAGAACAAAGCCAGTGGTCTTGTCTGTATCGTCATCAGGCTTTCCCCAAATCGGACAGCCGAATTTCTCACATACACATACACTCACACGCGCGTACACACGCACCCACACATTCTCTAAATCTCTCTCTCTCACACACAATTCATTCTCTAAATCTCTCTCTCTCACACGCACACATTCATTCTCTAAATCTCTCTCTCACACACACAATTCATTCTCTAATTCTCTCTCTCTCACACGCACACATTCATTCTCTAAATCTCTCTCACACACACACATTCATTCTCTAAATCCCACACACACACAAACACCCCCCCCCCCACACACACACACACTGTGGACTGTTAGGCATAACTAGGCTCCGACGGAGTATGCTCGCGAAATCATGGAAATGGGCTTTAATGGATTCTCGCGTCATGCTCGCAGAATCTTCATATTACGCTTTGGCATCGGGGATACTTATACACTTTGTTGCACACTTGGAGCCTCAGAGTTCGGGAAATGGTGCGTTTATCGAACTTGCAAGTGGTCAATTTTACATTGGCAAATTAGTTATCTTTGATATCATGTTCAACTGTCGACGTAGTCGTCATACTCGTCCAACATGTCAACCTCACCCTTCGGATAATCAGGTCATATCTGCTGCACTGCAGCTCCACCTCTCCTTCCATCACGACCGAACATCAACTATGCCTCCTAAATTATTTCACAGTTTTAGAGTAATATCCACTAGATCAAGTACATACACCGGTACCGATATTTGAAATAGGAGTTGGCGATAAGATTATAGCGTTTACAGACATGGAGGCTGGCAAATGATTATTACGCTGCGCTCGAGCCATCTGCTCAGGATGCGCCGAGACTTTAGTAGTCCAATACAATGTATTGTCCGCCACTGATATCGAGTGAGGTAACGCTGAGATCGATGCTCCTTGCACGCACTGTACCAAGGGTGCGTCTCGCCCACTTGATTCTTACTGTCCACGTAGATCTACGTGCTCGCTTTACGGGCGCAAGCACGCCACCGATAATTATGAATATGATTGGGTTACGTTGGAAGAGTGTGCCGTCAGGTACGCTGTGATCTTCCGCCACCATGGCACTCCTATTGATTAGTAGGGCCGACCACGAACGCTGATCACCCAGCTTCCGCTGATGTCGTTTTCCCCTTTGGCGCTTATGGTTTCTGATTGTCAGGAGCCCTATTGTATGCATGGTATCGTACTCGTATTACGCTGTTGTGATTGACAGGCGCCTGGCGCTGCCTCCGTCCTATTCATGTTTCGTTTCAGCTTTCGCTGATGATTGTCCTTTGTCCCCCGTGGCGATTGAGTTTCGCCTGGATTACGCTTCCTCTGGTCTGATACGCCTTTGGCGATGTGGTTCCGCCTGGTGCAAGAGAATGATTGTGCGCACGATTGGTGCGGTGCGGATCGTCACTGGAGAAGTTCCTGGTCTCGTGACTGGATCCAAGATCGGAGTTGAGAGAAAAAGCTCCGATGGCTCGCGGTTTGTGGTTGCGCTAATTGCCCGTCGTTGTATTGCTGCCGAGTGCCGGCGACGGAATTGAAGCCTGATCTGACCGTGGAGTGGTTTGTGTTGTGAAATGCTTAGCCGGCTACGTGACACGCGGCGAAAGGCCGCTGTGGTGCTCGGGAGCTCGCGTCCGACTGATCACCGGAGAGCGGAGCTGGCCAGGTAAGAGCATGGATATGCACGCGATCAGACCGTTGTCCTTGTCTTCCGAAGTTGTCCGCGAAAGGTTCCAGAAGGGTTCCTGCTAGCAAGTGTTGCTGTGTTGGTGGTATTGCCGAAGTTGCCACGTAGGTTACGATCGTTGATCGTTGCTATTGAAACATTGTCCTCTATTGCATGTGTTTCCGTTGCAGTGTCTGGGGAGTTCCCATTGTTAGGTTGTCGTTGGGCGATTGTTGCAGTGACTGTTCACTGAGTCTTTTGGAAGTTCTGTTATGCTGTTGTGTTGAAGGGAAGACTATTGTAGTACCCCTTACTTACGATAGGTTTCCAGGTTTTGTGTTATTCCGTTTGTAGTTCCATTGTGTATTGTTTTCAGCTGCACGAACGTGCACTCCGCCGCCCTGTGGGCCCTCCTCTGGGCTTGTCGTTCATTTCCGCCGAGTCGTAGACTCCTGTATTCACCGTGGGTTGTCCCACGCTCCGTTGTTTGTCTGTCAGAGACCTACACGCATTAGTAGACTTGACGTACGCTGTAGATCTTCGTCAGTGAACGACCTCGAGATGGCTCAACCTGCCCAAGCCGCAGCCGCTGCTGGTGCCCCAGCGCCGGCTGCTGCCGCCGTTGCAGCTCCTGCTGCTCCCGTTCCCCCCGCCGCCGCAGCCCCTGCTGCCGCTGCTAATCCACTGATTCCACGCCCTGTTGTTATGCCTGAGGCATATGACGGTAGTGATGACTGGGTAGAGTACCACCAATATTACCATAATTGTGCTCTCGTCAATGGGTGGGCAGACGCCCAGAAGGCCCAGTTCTTGGGAGTACGCCTACGTGGCGCTGCACAGCGCTTCTACGTTACTCTGCCCGTTGCTCGCTGCGCTAACTGGCAGCATATCTGTGCCGATCTGGCACAACGTTTCGCACCCGCTGCCAATGTGCGATTGTTCAAGGCCCAGTTCAAGGCCCGCCGACGCCAGCCTGGTGAAGACCTGGCCCACATTGCGGATAATCTTTGGCGCATGGTTGTCCGTGCATACCCACAGATGGCTGATCATGACAGGGAGGAATTGGTCAGGGACCAATTCATTGAGTGCCTCACGCCACTCGTGCTCCGCCTCCACCTGCAGGAAAATCCGCCTGCTACTGTACAGGCTGCCGTGGAAACGGCTTTGCATCTAGAAGGCATATGGGGCAATGAGCCATCCAGAGGTGACCTCTCTCGTACCACTGGTCAACCCGACATTGCTCAGCCGTCCTTGCTTGTGGCTGCGACGGGGGCTCCTATTGCCGCTCCTGGCTCACTTCATGCTGCGCAGCCCGCAGCCGATCTCCTGTCCGCACTAGCCGCTGCCCTCGGGTCGCTGAATAACAAAATTGACCGCCTTGCCATGCCCTCCGGGGGCCCTCGACCTCCACGGGACAGCCGTCCCCTCTCCCAGTCTTCCACCCGCACAGCGAGTGGGTGCTGGAACTGTGGCCGCCGCGGTCACCGCAGGCCTGATTGCCATCCGCCCCTCGTCCCAGAATACCCGCGTGAGAATGCTTGGAAGCCACCTAAGTCTGCTCCTCGCTATCCTTTGGGAAACGGTCACTGACCGGAGCGACGGGCCACGCCTCCGGTCTACCACGTGATGGCCCCTCCCTCATGACGCACGCTTAGCCAGGTCTCACTCCGCCGTCCCCGGACATGATGGTCCTAGGTACTCTCAATGGTCGCACTGTTAAGTTTCTGGTTGACACTGGTGCCGCCTCAGCGGCGGAAGCATCCAGAACCCTCACCACAGCGGCAACTGCTCTGGCCGGTTGGCTGAAGTCCAGAGGCCTCATCTTGAACGCCACCAAGAGCCAGGTTCTGACTATCTCTCCCCAGCAGCATGTACAGGAAGTAACAGTCAAAAGCGGCGACTGTCTCCCCTCAGCGCCCTCAGCGTCTTCTGCGCGCTACCTCGGCGTTCACCTTGACAATCGCCTAGATTGGGACACCCATGTAAACTATGTGGTCACCAAGGTTGCCAAGAAAATTGGCGCCTTTTGGCGGGCACGCCGAAGCCTATCAAGACGCTCTCGTCAGGTGTATGTGAAGGCGGTCATAATGCCCGACCTGCTTTATGGCTCCTGCTGTTTTTCAGCCGCAATGCAAGAGGGTCAACTGAAACGACTGCAAACCACGCAAAACACAGCCATCCGCTGTATCGATGGCAACCCACCCCGGACAGCCATGCAGCCGCTGCTCACTGCTCACTCCCTGTACCGTGTCAGCGAGCTCTACAGGCAGAAAATATTGATCACCATCTGGCAGTGCATCCACGCCCGCACCAGCCCTGTGCTCGCCCAGCTTCTGACCCCGGCACAAGGCACCCCTACCCGCCATCAGCAGTCAAATGGCCTACTAAGCCAGGCAAACCGTAGCCGCAGCGGTCAGTGGAGATTTTCTGTTGCTGGTGCTCTGCTGTGGAACGCTCTCCCTGGTGAGGTCCGCACAATTACCCGGCTACCTGAGTTTAAGCATGCATGTGTACCATACGCCTGTAGGGAGTAGTTCGAGTTGCTGCTGATCGCTCTGCTCTCCCTCCCCGTGCAGTTCAGTAACCCGCACGTAGTATCACAGATACATCGTATTCTCTCTCTCCCCCGTTTACCCGCAGTTATTAGTATCCTATTCTCTTACTATGTGCTTCCATGGCTTTTACTATGTTCTTCCATAGCCACTTCTAGGCTAAGCCTTCGTCGTCATTTTATTGGGTCGTCATCCCGTTTGAATGTGCGAAGTGAAATAAAAACCAACCAACCAACCGCTGTGAGCCTCCTCTCCTTGCCACATGCCACGGAGCTAGGACTTCGTGAGGAATGTCTATTGCCACCGCCGCCCCTTCGTCTCTGCGGCGCTGATGGTTCGGACCTCACTATCTGCGGGACATCCGTTGTCCTCATCGCTATAGGTGCTAGTACCTGCCTCTATGACATCTATGTAGTTCGCCAACTGCATCACCCTTGTATTCTAGGTCGTGACGTGTTGTCACACATCCCCTGTACCATCCAGTCTGATGGTGCAGGCCTCCGCTTTTCCGCTGCTGAGTCTTCTGTGTCCACAGTTGACCCCACTCGTATTGCCCTCCGCTTGTCCGGGCGCGCTACGGTGCCCCCACACCATGAGGTGTTCGCCTGGGCTGTTCTTGATGATCCCACGGAGGATGATTCGCCGCTCCTGCTGGAGCCTGACCGCCCACTTGCTGAAGAGCATAGTGTATTTGTCGCTCGTGCTTTCGTCAATCCATCTCAGGGCAAAGTGCCTGTTCGCCTGCTCAATTGTAGCGACCATCCGATTACACTTCGCCAATCCCAGCACGTGGGTGCTGCCTATGCCATTAACGCTGTACATACCGCTGAGAATGATGAGTTGACCCATGACTTATGGGATGATCCGCCACCACATGCCCAGCTCTGGGATGCGCTCCGCGTTGACCATTCCGCCCTCTCTGCTGATGAGCTCGCTGAGCTTCTTAAGTTACTTTCCCAGTATCGTGACGTCTTTGCCCTTAGCTCTCAGGAGCTCGGCCGTACTCGCCTCATGAGTCACTCAATCGACACTGGGACGACCCATCCCGTTTCCCTGCCTGCCCGCAGGCTGCCTTGGGCGTCACGCGAGACGGCGCGCCGTATTGTGTCGGACATGCTTGACCAAGGGGTCATTGAGGAGTCCACCAGTCATTGGTCAGCTCCAATAGTCCTGGTTGCCAAGAAGGACGGTTCGATGCGCTTTTGCGTCGACTATCGCCGGCTGAACGATGTCACGGTCAAGGATCCGTACCCATTGCCCCGGGTCGATGATACGTTGGATGCTCTAGGTGGGGCCCCGTACTTCTCCACGCTTGACCTTTGCTCTGGCTACCATCAGTTGCCCATGAACGCCGCTGACCGCGAGAAAACTGCTTTCTCCACGCCTGACGGTCACTATCACTTGATCGGAGCTTGAAGATCGATTTTGGAAGGACCAAAAACCAAACAATGAACAAAATTGTCATGTTGCGTGGTGATGTCTGCGGCATTCATACTTTTCATAGCTATAATTAAACTTTTTATCTCCACGTAGATTATTTACATAATGTAGTATTCTCGCTCCACATATACT